CTTCTGCGTAAACAAAAGTTCCATTTCTATATGCTTTTGCTTTAATACATTGCACCATAAAACTCTCCTTTCAGAGAACAGTCATGACCGATGCTTGCCTTGTTTAAGTTATCTCTCTTTGGTTGTGCTTCCCTCAATCGATGCTAAATGAAATTTGATTTTTCTTGTCTCCACATGTTCAACATAGCACTGAATAGTCAATGTCTTAAAACTAAGTATTTCCCATGAATAGCTTACCTCCATCAGTTGTCATGTCACAGTGGACCTTTAAAGGGTTTCCATTGCTTTCGGGCTCGATCCAGCACTCCCTGTCTCTTATTGAGTCCCGCGTGTCCCGGATCACCTTGCATAAGCGAGCAGGATGCTAGGAGCTCGAACCTTTCTTAGCTTCCAAAAAGATCAAAGTGCAATGCAACCTTCACTTAATGATCTGAGAGAACCATTTCATGACAATTTTTCTTGCGCCAATGCCATAATAATCAAAAGAAAATGGTATACGAGGTGATTTAGTAAAGTTGAATGGGATATCAAACTACTCGAGGAAACGCCTGACAATTTTAATATTTTCGATACACCGAAAGGATAAAAAAACACATTTTTACAGGAAAAACTTTAGATCTTTTAAAATAAACGCATCTTTGAACTTTTCCTACAATGATATCATTATAGTGGAGCAGGTTTGCGGTCTCGTTTATTCCCTAGCCTTTACCATTATCCATGAAAATATGCGGGGTTAATATGGAGGCCAGTAGATTAACGCAATATCGATCCAGTCACAAAAAGAACCATATTTTTTAGCGAGGTGCAAACGTGCGTTTTTCTAGGATGACAGACCGTGTCATAGTTTCTACAGTAATTCCTTTGTATCTGGGTTGACATTGACCTGCCCTTCTTCGTGCGGCTCGTTCATGAGAAATATCGACACAATTACCCTCAACGAATTGATTCGAATACGTTAGAAAATTTAGCCTCGCTTGGATGAGAGATGAATATGCGCACTTTAAAATTATACTTTAAGCTTACCACTAACCTGAATTGAGCTAAAGTACGTGGATCCTTTCTTCTGTTTAAAATTATCAGGTTTCATCTGCCGGGATTTTTTGTTTTGCTCACAAATGAGCCTACCATCATTGTCATTGGGATGAAAATTATATGATTTACAACAACTGTTTCCCATACATTTTAGGTGACATTCCAACTCGTCAAAAACATAAGTTTTGCTGATGACGTGACCGACTGAGGCAAAGTCTGTAAAGAGACATTTGCATGTCGACATTGATGATGCAGAAACAAAATGAATGAAAAATGTAATGAAGCTGTTTCAAAGCCTATTACTTACTGACTTGAGTTTCTAAAACGTTTCCGCAAAAGTCTCTCTTCGCCACCGTGAACGCCAGGAATATATGAATGGTCACAAAGATAAACTGAGTCAGCCACGAAGCCTGCATGTGGTTCGTAGATACTTAAGAAACACAAGTCGAACAAATTTTTTCGTTGTCGTCTGTTGCCTGCGACTGAAACCTTTGCCTATTAGCGAATGACAACTGATTCGATAAAACCCCACAGAAAGGGTCTTAATTGATCACCATTGTGACAAGATTTTATTTTCATTACATGGATGTAAGACTGAATAGACCACAGAATGATCTCTAAACGAAAGCTACACGACTTCGCTCAGCCATCTCGCTTTTCCATGTCACATAAACGATCTCGTGGTGATTTAATGTTCCAAGTAACTCAGTGCTATTATGGAATAGTCGCCACAAAGTTATTGTAATGTAGTTCTGACAATTTCCAAGTACACTGTGATAATCCGTTTTGTGTGGCTTCTATGGGTGCGAATCTTTGGCGAATTGGGTTTTCACTGCCCAGAACCTCACAATGGACTGAAAAAGGCTGCCGGAGGGGGGAAGTTTAGTTCATTCATAATTGACAGCTGACTTATTTATCTTGGTGTAGATTTCCTTAAACAGTGTGAAATAGGATCTCAAGCTACATTGCAAAAAACTTTTATTTGACCATATTACA